CCCAGAATAGGTAGTGATACTGGTATGGTACCCTTAAAAGTATCCTTACCCCGTACTCTTAAATCCCCTTAATCACAACCCCCCTAAGGAACCCCCTTTACCGGTACCGCCTCGTACCAAGTCCCCTTAAGAACTCAATACCCTCCCCTTAGACATTCCCAGTTTAAAGTAAAAAATTGTGGGTTTGAAGTTCCCAAATTTAGTCAGCTATGCCAAAGTCTAACTTTAAAAGTCAGGTCTGAAGTTTGAAGTTAGTCATATTAATATTTAAAGCATATTTTAAATCACAATTTTGTGTTTTTATTGGATGTCCAGTTAAATACTTTAATAAAATGGGATGGAGGAAGTATGTATGACGAGCGCAAAACACACACTTAAATATGCTTGCTAGTCAAATATAATATAATATAATATAATATCGTATCCACAGGGATTGGAGTTAAACAGTACTACCGTAGTTTGTAGCTAGATTGCTATCCAAGATGATCAACAATTTAGATTTATATGGTTAATACTAAAATTAATTAAGAATCTATAGCTAATTAACTAATGACAATCGAAGCAAGGATAAGCAAAGGAAGATATCAGTGGGAGAAAATGGGGGTTTTGATAGGATAGGTGCAAGATAATTGTCTGGGATTTAACTCTAGATAATTCACTTCTAATGTTCAAGTGAGTCTCTCGAATTCACTTAATTATCAGTACAATTGTTTAGTAGAAACTCCTCTCTCGATTAAGTCTCAACCTCTCAATATGGACCATTTTAAACTCTGTGAAGATATGCAAGAATGCGTAATGGATTGGTCTTTAAGAAAACCTCTCTCGATTATCCTCCTAACTAGGTTTAATCAATGATTTAACTAGCCTATTTCGATTACGTAGAAGAATCTACGAACTCAACCAACAATATAATGCAAAGATATCACACGTTATACCTCTTTCGATTACAAGAACAAGTGAATATAGATGCAACAATTAAATATTCCAAAAACTATTCAAATATATAAAAATAGAGTTATAATCCACAAACAATCATCAATACACCAAATCAATCAAAACACAAAAGGATCTACTCCATAGACATGGAGAAGTTCTTCACAAATATAACTAAAGTATAGGAAAACATAATTCAATCCAAAACCAGATCTTGAGTGAGGAAGGAATGATGAAATCCTTGTGCTTGTGTTCTTCCAACTCCTCCTTAGCCTCCTTTTGTCGAAATTATTTCAAAAGTCCCGAAAATGGTATTTTCTCGTGTATTTAAGCCATCTCCCAATAAACCCCAGATGAAATTATCCTTTCTTAGCCGAAATGGGACGTCACTATTACATTTTTGGGCTACCGAGGCGCGCATGTAGGAAATTTCAGAACGTGCCGAAAAATTGTTTTTGGCCACTTCTAGCATTGTCGCGTCGCGCGTTGCGCCGCCCCATGCGGCGCGGCTATGCAAATTTTGCAGAGTATTGATTTTTTTCTGTCAAGACCCAAAATCTCACCAGTCGTAATGACACATATTTCAATACTAAGCAAGCCGACAATCTCAATAAACCACTATATTTTTTAAATTTGAAAACATGATAATTAAATTCAGCGGAAGAATCTCACAAATACAAAGATAAACACTCCCAAAACCTGATGTCATTGAGTGCATGAGTATCTAATATGAATATAAGGTCCGCTGATAAAAATATTGTCTGAAAGTATAGAACAATACAATAACCGAAAGAAAGAGAGTCAAGATCAGCGGACTTCAGGCAGCTACCTTGATAGTCTCTAACTGATAGCACTCTGAGATCTGACGGTCGCCGTGTTCGAAAGCACCTGGATCTGCATGCGAGGTGCATAGTGTAGTATGAGTACAACTAACTCAATAAGTAACAAGACTAACTTGTGGGGTGAAAGTAGTGATGAGCTCTGCATGTACAGTCCAATACATAAATACTGGTACATAAATATAGGCATGCTTTCAAGTTCAATAGTTAAACTCAGTACAAGCAAAAAATATATCAATACTGCATGGTATAAGGAATATGACATCTTAGTGGAAAGACCTCATGTACTACTGGTCACAATTCATTCGATTACTCAGTACTGTTTATGGCCAATCCAGCGGATATTCCATCTCGTATATACATACACATCGACTGACAGTCAGTCATTCAGTACCGTATAAGGCCAATCATGCCATGGGATAATTTATCCCCAAATGTAAATGATACGAACAAGATCCATGTCCAGGGAAATTCATCACAATATAAATAAGTAAGGCAAGTCCATACCCTGGGAAATCTATCCCGAATATATAATCATCTACACTCACTGGGGGTGTGTAGACTCCGGAGGGGCTCCTTCAGCCCAAGCGTGATATAAAGTCGATATGGCCTGCTGCAGGTGGGCACCCCCGATCCATATAATGATAAAGCCTATAAGGCCTGTTGCAGGCAGGCAGTCCCGATCCATATAATAATAAAGCCTATAAGGCCTGCTGCAGGCGGGCAACCCCGTTCCATATAGTAATCATATATATAAAGTCAATATGGCATGCCGCAGCGCGCAACCCGATCCCATAAATATCTTCACAATGGACGAATATGACTGAATGTGAAAATGTATATTTTTTAAAAATAATTAATTCAACAGCAACACGACCCCATGGGTCCCAAAATATTGGCACGTAGCCTAAACATGATTTTTAATAAGAACCTCAGCTCAATTTCTCTAGCACGTGGAAAATGTTCAGATAATAACATGATTCTTTAATTTTACAACTTCACAGGATTTATTCAAGTCACAATTTTTATGGTGCATATCCACACGCTCATCGCCTATCGTGTGTGTCACCTCCAAATAATTTATATAACACCAAATTCGGGGATTCATACCCTTAGAACCAAGTTTAGAAGTGTTACTTACCTCAAACCGTGTAATTTCTTACTCCCCTATATCCTTGCCTCGCAAATTGGTCTCTGAAAGCCTCAAATCTAGTCATAAATAATTCGATTTAGTCAACACAAATTATAGGAATCAATTCCATATATCGAAATAGGGTCGGGTCAAAAATTTAAAAAATTGAAGCCCGGCGCAGATATGCGGTCGCATATGCGACCGCATAACACGTCTGCGGTCCGCAAATCGACCGTATAACTGAAGCTCCAAAAATTAGGGTTGCCTGGTTGGGTCTGCGGTGATTATGCGGCATGCAGACCTATTCTGCGGTCGCATAATGCACCGCAGAACTGGTCTGCGGTCACATAATGTACTGCAGAACTGATTTGCGGTCGCATAATGTACCGTAAACTTCCTCCTATCTTGCCCCGCCTCTGATTCACTCTACGGGCATTATGCGGTCCGCATAGTGGTTCTGCGAGCGCATAGTGGGCCGCAGAAATGTCTTCTTCTGCCGAAAACTTTCCTTTACTCCCAGTGCATTGTTCAACCCAAAAAGTCCGAGCCGCGAGTAATTTCTACAACCTTGTACTAATTGATCTGCCTCGACACTACAAAACCTTAATTTCCTTAGCAAAAATTCTCCGGGGTCGTTACATATAAGTCAACATCCGGTCAACCTTTTCAATTTAAGTTCTAAACCTTGGAACTAAGTGTTCCAAATAATTTCAAAACCTTACCGGACCCGAACTAATCACCCCGGCAAGTCACTTAACAACTGTAAAGTATAAATTGAGCAGTAAATGGGGGAACGAGGTTGTAATACTCAAAACGACCAGTCGGGTCGTTACATCTTCACTCTGCAGGAAAATTGCACTAGCTCTATGAGGCTCGTGGCGCGATAGTGCAATTTTCTCAGAGTGAATTCGTTTTCTCATTTTTTTGACATCTAGACTTGGTTTTAACCCCCGAACGTGATCCCGGTTTAATCCCTTGGGCTTTTACTCAGACTTCAAAGTTTCAACTTGTTCGATTTAGCTTCTTAATATTATTTTTACTCGAAATTAATTCCTACAAGACATAAAATACACAATAAGTACAATACACTAACATTTAAATTCAAACACAAGTAAAATACAATAATTTAAATGTAATACTACGACTAAACACGACTTTCTAGCCTACCATCAATATACCGGAGATACGTCTGCACTAAAATTAGTTCCCAAAACCAGAATTTTCCAGCGTAGAACAGATATTTCTATCATATTTGAGCACGTGCGGTGTCAACATCCAATTACAGGTGAGAGAAAAAAATCCCAAAGAAATAAATAAAAGAGAGAGATCAAAATTTTACACGTCATAGGAGAAGATAATGAAGGTCCCATTGTTGGTAGCCAATAGTGTCACTATTATTAGACTCTTTTAGTGGGAAGGTAAAAGATGAGAAGGTAATTTAATAAAAAAAGGATGAGGAGGTAGCTTTGAGGATCATTGATATCTTGCTCATTCTCTGTTGCCTTGTCTCTCTCACACACAATCAATCACAGCTTCACACTACAAAAAGGTGAGATAAAATTGAAGTAATTTTCTAAGGCTCAGCTTTCATCAAGAAAGACAAACAAGGCCCATAATTTTGTGCCTTTCACGTTACATAAAAAAATATTACTACTACTATAAAGACAGCTCCATTAGAATGGCGGATATTACTAGAACAAGCAAGATTATTGCTTCTACACTTAAAACCACCTTGTTTTCTTCTATTTCCATTTCCGTGATTCTTTTTGGTTCCTTCCTTTAGTAGTAGTATATTATTTCAAGAAGCAACCCAGACTATAAAAAAAACAACTTTTTACTGTTCCTAGTATTTATTTAGTATTTCAAAGCTTCTATTTTTTGGCTATGGCTTCTTGTGGGATAATTTCTGGGATTCACACTAATTTAAAAGCAATTGAGAAACTGCCGATTTCTAGTCCATGCTTCTTCAGGAGTTCTTTTGGTTTGGAACCTATACAGAGAATATGCATTGCTCCTAAGAGGTAATTACTTGCTTCCTCAGCCTCACTACTTGATATCTGTTTCTATCTAAATTTGGTTAATTAGTTGGCATACCAAACATTTGAAATTATCCATTTAATTGGAGTTTTTGGGTGCATTCATCATCTTAGCTGATTGGTTTAGTTATTTTTCATGTTCTGTTTGCAATTTGATGCTTATCTGTTTTCAGTTGTAGTTTCAGAATCTTGTTTTCTCTTGCAAGTAGTATTGAAGTTTTTGTCCCGGTTCTTGTCACGGATCTTGAAACAGGTAGTGAAGTAAAATCCCAAATTATATTAAAGGACTGTTTGATTAAAATGGAGATGCAACGGGACTAATCATGAATCCGTCGTTAATCATAATGAAGTTTCTGTGATGTGTTTTTACTCATGGACTTGCTGATATTTAGCAGTGGAAAAAGTTCATAAATTACCTTATACTGGAATCTATGTACTTTTGGGTGCCCTGACTCAGAATATAATCAACATGTTCTGCTATGTCAGATTAGCTTTTCCCGAGAGTACAATTATTCCAAAAGCATCCTCAGCTGCAGCTGTTGAGGTATCTAACTATATACTAATAACTCATTGAAATAACTTTTGCCCTTGTTTTTTGTTTTCCAAAAATTGAGACATTTGTTTTTGATTCATGGGACTGGGGAATCAGGACGGAAGTTCCCAAGAGACTGCTGTCCCGACGCCAAAAGTCATAATAGATCTGGATTCGAACCCTGATGCAACTGTAGTTGAGGTCACCTTTGGTGATCGCCTTGGAGCTCTTGTTGACACGGTAGGATTCATTATCTTCTTGATTCAAATACTTAATATTATTGCTGATAAATATTTGGAGTCATTTGGCAGCATATCTTTCTCGCGTATAGGCCTAACTTTTACTGAATGTGTTTACAGATGAGTGCACTAAAAAATCTTGGACTAAATGTTGTCAAAGCTAATGTCTGTCTAGATTCATCAGGGAAACATACTACATTATGCATAACAAATGCGTAAGTCATGTTGGATTACTTTATGTTTGTACGCTTTTATGGAAATTCTGATTGTTCTATTTTTGGGGATTTTTCCAGTTCTACTGGTAGGAAGGTCGACGATCCAGAGCAACTAGAAGCAATTCGTTTGACAATTATCAACAATATGATTGAGTTCCATCCGGTAGCGCTGCAATTTCAGCCGTCGTACATTGGATGCTTGTTAAGAGTACCTCTGTGGTATCTTTTATTTGCTGCTTCTTCTTACTGCATAATTTCTGCTGCAGGAATCTAGCGCCCTGTTAGCTATGGGTGAAGTCTTTGGTGCTTATCAACCAAATCAAAAGGTTGTAAATACTTTGTTATTGCATTCCATAATTTTGCATGTGCGAACGCACTAAAGAGTCTGCCTGCAGTAATTTCTTGAACTACTTGCATGTATGTCTCCAGCCAACTCTAGTCAGGATTGCCTAATGCTCGTTGAATAATTGACAGCAAAAACATCTCCCTAATAATTTACAAGATAGATGCAGAAACAGCAGTTTAACTTTTATAATGTAATGTTAACTATTTTTGTTCTGTTGTTTATTGTGCCAATTTTCAGCTTGATGTGGACATAGCAACTCATATCCATGTCTATGACGATAGTCCTGAACGGAGGTCAGCTTATATATACATATAGTTTATCGTGATTCGCTTTCAGACTAATGTTGATAATCAAGTATCATGGTCATAAGATGCCGTTACGTGCATAACTTGAAAGACTGACAGTAAAAACATTGCTGTTTTGCAGCTTACTGTATGTAGAGGCAGCAGATCGACCTGGATTAATAGTTGATCTCGTCAAGATCATTACTGAAATAAACATTGATGTTGAATCAGGAGAGTTTGACACTGAGGTCAGACTTTTACAACTAGAGTTGTTTCATAATATCATTTCACTTCTTTAAATATTACAGGATAATACATCGATTTTGTTACAGGGATTGCTAGCTAAGGCAAAGTTTCACGTAAGCTACAAGAACAAAGCTCTCATCAAGCCCCTTCAACAGGTAAGCAACCTGTTGTGAAAGCAATTTAATTTCGACGTCATATTTAGCTAGCTATTTGTCTACAATTATATTTAGCTTGATATAAATCATTGTCAAACAACAATCTGTAACATTTCAGGTTCTGGAAAACAGTCTACGCTATTACTTAAGGAGACCAACAACAGAAGAGTCGAGTTTTTAATACAGTGCGGAGAAGATCACCAGTTTGGTAATTTAACCATGCACTTTTAACTGTCGCAGCAAAAAGCGTGCTGAAACATGCATGAAATCTGGAAATACTGTTTCATTACTGCGCTAACATTGTAAAATGCTACCATTCTATACCTCAACTTAATTTGAATATACCTTTCGACAAGTGGAAAGAGCCATTTTCCTCCCATTATTAGTTAATGCTTATCACTGCCCAAATTTGAGGTTTCAACTTTATTTGATATCAATAAAATAAACCTAGTGTAATCCCACCTTGTGGGGGTCTAAGGAGTATAATGTATACGCAGAACTTACCCCTATCTTGTGCAAGTAGATAGATTATTTCCGATATATATACACCCTCGACTCAGGCAAGCAAAGTATTGAAAATTCAGTGGTCCAATTAATTATCGTGTTACGTTGAAAATTCGTGTTTCTATTTTCCGGACATATTTATTAGTAGTATTGTTAAATTATGAAAATGGAAAGGGGGATGATGAATTTTGAGGAGTTTGAGAGGATAAGGAGGACAGAGTAAGCACAGAAAAATGGACCACATACTATCTATGGAAAAGAGATAAGTGGATCAGTGCAAATTGCACAGACAACAGCCTTCATAATTTAAGAAGAATGGATATTCTGCTTCTCTTACTATATCCCAAAACTCTTTTATCTATTTTTTATTTTTTATTTTTGTTGACGATGTCAACTGGTCGTTGGAGGAACTAATTGATAATGTAAGCCAAGGCACCAATGTTTCAATTATTGTCTTGTTTATAATTGAAAGACTATAGCGGTTTTATTTATTTTCTTCCACATACCGATGTCTGAAACTTTAAATTGCTGGAACTTTAGATCAGCTTACTAGTTTCAAGATTGTTAAGACTAGGTCTGCATGCATTATTAGACTTAGAAATTGAACTTTCACAACAACTGAGATTAATTAAATAGGATTTAAATGGTATGATCAACACACAGAAAATATTAGAGTATGTAATATGACCATTATTTTGTTAAATGGAGTCCATCTCACATAAGCATAAGCATCTTTGCAAAGTGTAGACTTTGTTGGCAATATTCTTTGGACCCAAAAATATTGCATTGTGTGTTAGACATTATTTGCACAAGTTGTATCTCTTCTTTTACACCTAAGAGGTCAAGACTTTTTTGCCTATAAAAGGGAAGACCATTAGTTCATTTTAGACACACCAACAAGACTTGTCTTCAATTCTTGTTTCTTCCTTTCTTCCTTTATTAAGAGTATTTTGTATGAGAGTTAGTGTTGGGAAGCACTTGTGTGAACCCTTTCTTTGGAGTGATCTTGTGAGGTTATTCTCTTAGGGTATTTGGGATTAATTAGAGTGTTTACTCTAATTTTGTATTCTTTTTTGCACTCTTATTATTATAGTAAATTGCTCCTCTCCACTTGTGGACGCAGGTCACCTCGACCGAACCACGTTAAATTTGTGTCTTCTTTAAATTCTTTAATTGCCGTTATTATCAACTTACATTGTCTTTGTTATTGTCATTATACCATTGTTTGGCTATATTCCGCACTACCCGGATTTCCAATCTTAGCAGAGTAATAATAATAATAGTAACAATAACAAAAATAATGATGATGGTTGTAATAATAATAAGTGCGACATGAACACAAGCACGACATCAAGTACTATTTTCAGTAAATCTTTTGTATTTATTTATTTTGATTTTACGTTACAAAAAGCTTACCACAGAAAAAGTACGACCTATATATGATAAATAATAGTATCAAATTGAATGCAGAGAAAGTGAAGATCAAGAGCGTAACAAAAAATCATGATGACAACTGGAGCTTCCAAATGATCGTATCGAAATATTTTACCCTAAGGATCAAGAGAAAGTCATTAAAGTTGTTGCTCATTATGTATCGGATAAAGGAGGAGGTTTGTGATCGGTTGAAGCAAGCATACAATTGTCATATGATGAATTCTCGATATTACCGTTATCAAAAATGTTAAAGAATTGTTACGAATAGAATTGTACTTAGAGTAAATGTCTGTCTTTTAATTAAAGAGTTTATTACTTTGTGGCTAAGTTATTTTTCCTCTATAAATAGAGAGATTTTACCCCACTATAAATTATCTGATATTCAATAAGAATTACCTCTCTTTTCCTTGCAATATTATTCTTTTCCTTATTGTTTTATTTCAAGAATAATGTTATAAAAATAACTTTTTTATTAGAAATGTACTAAAAAAAATTATACGTTACATACAACTTAAAGTTTAAAAATGACAAGTGAGACTTGCTCAGTAAAAGCACCTCCACCTACGACCGTTAGGTCCTGGGTTCGAGTCACGCTGGAGGGGAAGTGTGGAAACACTATAGATCCTCCTAATTTGGGAGGGATTTTAAAAAAAAAAGTTTAAAACTTAAAGTTTAAATTGGTACAGCTGCCAAAGGGCCAATTCAGGTAAAAATAGCGCGGGTTAGCCAGTTTTCGGACTGGTAATTGAAAAATAACTAGCGTTTGTAAAGTCATTGAAAAATAGCCATTATTTTGCTGCAACACGGACCGGTCCAGCATAATATACTGGAGATTGGTGCACCTGTGTATGAACTTCCAGCATATTATGCTGGAACTCCAACACGCGGAAAGTTCCAGCATAATATACTAGAGATTGGAGCACCTGTGTATGAACTTCCAGCATATTATGCTGGAACTCCAACACGCGGAAAGTTCCAGCATAATATACTAGAGATTGGAGCACCTGTGTATGAACTTCCAGCATATTATGCTGGACCGGTATATTATACTGGAACTCCCGTATATTATGCTTGAATATTTTTCGGATTTTGAACAGTATTTTCGTTCAGATGTATCTTTACATAAAAAGTGACTAAATTTCGATTACTTTTAAAACTGTAGCTATTTTTTAATTATCAATCGTAAATCTTGCTATTTTTTAATTTCTCCCCCAGGTGATAGATTTGGTCTAACGATTGGGCTCATTTTGGTTCGTCAAGGTACACTATTTCGGCTTTAACGTTCAGGCTAGTAAATATTGACGAGCTAGCCACCTTTTGGACAGCTTTTTCAAAAATAATCAATATTTGAAAATTTCGTTGAAACGTAGCCACTTTTAAGCAAAAACACCATGACAGAATTATGTATTTCGAACTTAAACAAGTGAAAAATCCAGGATATTATTTTAATTTTTGTAAACATGATATTGTCATGGATTTCGAATTTTAAAAAAGTGATACTTCATGTTAGCATCTTGGATTTTTATTCCAAAAATTGGCTATTTTAATGATTTTTTAATATGTGATTATTTTTTAATCACAAGTATGAAAAATGACTTTTTTTTTAACTTTACACCTGATATTACGTACCCCATAACGAAATTTTCCAAATATCCTTCTCTCTGGTTTCTCGAAGTATGGCAACTTGCAACCTATCATCGATTCGTAGTATCAAATTAATTATCAGTGTATGTATTGTCTTGAATTCTACCAATTTTTATGAAAGAAAGGATAATCTACAAATATGGAGACATTCTATGAAACAAAAGCGGAAGATAGGCCATTGAAGGAATTTGAGAGAGAAATTCTCATATCGTAGCCTGCACAAGACTTTAGTACTAAACGCCATTTCTTCGGGCATTAATTGAAGTTTGAAGATCGAGATAACTAATTCCTCTCCCGGTCTATTTTAATTGATTTTTGTAATTATTTTCATTCATATTAAGAAATCCACCTTTTAGTATTAGTTAACAATAAAATTATCATATTAGCCTTACTTTTTGCAATTACTTTTTGCAATGGAAATATAACAAATACCTTGGAGCAAAAAAGTTAATTCTTTCCTGATATCTGAAAAAATTAAATATTGTGGACTACCATAAAAATATTAAAAAATCAATTAAATTTCCTAGGGTGTAGTGATTATCCCTCGTGGACCATGAGCCTAAATGATTAACGCACCTTCTGTCTAACGTTGCACATGTAAATTTTATTTTTATAATTACTTCCTTGTCTCAATAAAGTTGACTTGCTTTACCTTTTACATAGTACAGTAAAAGAGAATTAACTCTACCCGATTAGTACATATTTTAATCCACTACTTTAACCATCTCTCAAAAAATTCAATAAAATCATTCATTTAAAAGCCACATGACTGTTATAAGAAAATTAAATATGGTGGATGTCTATTCTTCCTCCATTATCTTCTTCCATGATTTTCATCTCAAATGCTTAATGACATATTCAATGACATATTTTTCTTCACTTTTCATGTCCATATAAAGGTTTTGTAATAGATAGAAAAATACACACAATTGAAGAAGAAAATCTCTCCCTTCTCTCTATCTCTATTTCTTGTTCATGTTTTACTAAATTGCTTTTATTTCATAACACGTTATCAGCACGAGTTTCTAACCAATTGAGTTTGATCTCTTTCTTCTTCAAGAATTTTCGTATAGAAAATAGAAGAGACGGTATCATCATAAATTAAAGATGTGATGGGATGGAAACTCAACCAGTATATTTGATATTACAATATTTGTTGGTATAGCTTAAAGGTAATATTGGCATAGCTTACGGCTTCTGGTAACTTCCCTTGAAAATTAGTATTGCTTCGAAATTTTTAGTTAAGGAACAAATATTTTATTATCTTCGGTTAAAATATAATCGCTACTGATCTTAACTCAAAGTTTACCAAAGTTTGGCTACACCTGCACTTTAAGTTTTTGCTGAAGTTCAAGTAATTATGTTTTATATATATATTCTCGGGCTAGCTTTCTATTTAGTTACTGTCGCCATTCTTTTTTCAATTAATTAGATAAATGAAAAAGACATTCCCTTGTCTTTTAGTTTCTATAATTTTGTCAATGAATTGGCTTTTATTGAGGCAGCCTGTAGATTGATATAAGAAGTGGAATAAGAAGATAATTAGGTGATGTAATAAAAGAGCCCCTAATAGTTACTAGTAAGTAGCCTGCTATTACTGAAGTTGACGTCAAATTACACCTTACAATCTAATGTTCAAATTTAATCTTATTGATGGTTCTCTGTTATTGTTTGCTTATAAGTTATAATCTCTTTTATATGTGGTTTAAAACAGGTAAAACTTCTTAAAGCTCGAGAGTGTCTTTGTGCACTTTGGCTTGTTTGATATTATGCCATTGGTTGGGGGTAAGACGATGGGTTCAAGTCCCAGCGCACCATGAGGGTAACACTTCAGATTGGAATTCTGATGCACCATGATTGTACGAGTTGGGTTCGAGTCCCAACTCATTATGGCCTAACATACCTATTTAGGGGTAAGACATTGGGTATGAGTCCCAATGCACCATATTGATGATATAATGATGGCTAAGGAAAAATAATATATTTTTCATTAAATAGCATGAAACGTGTCCCACTTAATTTGCTTTATTCTTGAAGTGAATGTGATAGTAATGCATAATAAGTCTAAATGAAGATAAGTGGTTGACCAATGAACACGGGCATGCCAAAGACCAAAATAATAATAGTCATCATCCTGGTAATTATAAAATGGAGAACAATAAGTGTTCTCATAAAATAATCCTTCATAAGGTAAAGAAAATATTTGCCATTAACGTGATATGTAAATATGAGGCACATTCAGATGATTATGGTCCCTTCTTTGAAAATGTGACTTGTGATAAGCATTGTAAATGCAGATCCATTCCTGAAAGTGAATGTGAAAATATATATGTCATACAAATTATTCATAAGAATGTATTTATGCATGGATGAATAAATACTACAACTCACATATACGGGAGGGTTGAGAGAAAAAAAGATAATGAACATTACTGTATGGTTACGTGAATATATCATTCGTCGCGTACATGTGGTACACCGAAAATATTTTGCCATGCCTTATAAAACGTTATTAAAGGAAAAATTAAAGCAATAAATGATTTTGCTTATGATGATTTTGACCATGACAATTATTATGATATGATTTTCTCCGTGAAGGAGATATTCACCATATGGATGGTGTGATAAAAAAATCTTGTAGTACAAAATCAATTATGAGCTCCGGAAGAGCTAATTTATTACTATGCGGATAGGTAAAATTGTTCATGACATTAATATTATAGTAAGTCTCAAAAGAAATTTTTTAAGTTTCAAATATATTAGCCAAAGTGGTTGGCATATTGAGACTATAACTGAAAGGAAGATTGAATGTTTTCATATTTCTATAATCGTACTGGGTAAATATGAAATGTTACTCGATTTTCTTTCTATTTGTACTACACAAGTATAAGCATGATGATGGAATAATTTGCCACAAGTAAACTAAAAGTTTACTGAAATAAATATTAGTTGGCATGACCCGTGGACCATCCTGGTTCAATTATGATGTGATAAATTGATTGAGAATTCACATTGGCATATATTGAAGAAATAGAAGATTCTTCAAGAATTCTCTTGTGCTGCTTATTTTCATGATATACCAGTTAAGGTTGGGATTGAATCCCTTGATTTCTGGAGCAAATAAAATATGATAAATATATGAGCCCAGTCACCTGCCATGTGGACCTTTTATTATTATATGATTTTAATAGATGCATCTATTCTATGGTCATATGTGCATTTGTTCAACTTGCAGTTTGACTTTTGCAAGGTTACTTGCTCAAATTATTAGAGCAAAGTTCCAGAATATAAATTATGATGATTTATCTTGATACTACTGGTTTAAATCCAAGTTGGTTTAGCAAAAATTGTATGCCTCCAATTATAGCTAAAACCATTGGTTATGAGAACAAAACTCCCAAAACGAAATTTGGTGTGTGATGTATTATTTAATATACAACAACACTTGTATGCATCTAGCCAAGTTATGAAAAGTTCTTCCTATCACAATCGGTTCAGGGTCAGGAATCAAATAATTTCTATCTAGAAATATGGATGTGCTATATAATTTAATTATGCCACCACAATACACAAGGATGAGTTCCCAAAGAAGGTTGAGAAATGTGTTGGTGATCCCAATATTAGGGGGAGAAAATGGGCAGC